TGAAAAAAACAAATGAAATCCTTTAAGGAACGTGCTACCTTAAAACACAGGAACGGAAGCAAACACGGTCAGATATTAGCACGATATGCGAAAAAGGATCCGAATGCTAAGAGAGCGTTGGAAGACCAAATTCGTCTGGGCAGAGAACTGGTTGAGAAGTATAGTTTAGGGCAAGATGCTAGTGGAAGCTCTGACGACGAAGAGGAAGTTTTGACCGCTAATCAACTCCTCGAGGTATATTTTGGAAGTACATATTCAAAAGTTTTTTTCATTACGCTGTTGATCATATTTGTAGAAAGCCGCGGAGATCGTTGCTAATGAAGAGAGCTTACAAACTTCCTCATCAGACTCGCTGTTGCTATCAAGTTTGCAGAAGATGCGTCAGAAAGAAAGGCTGGAGAATTTAGAGAGTGCGTCAAACGCAGTTCATGTTCTCTCCGTATGTCTCCTTAATCTAAAGAAGTTTCATTAGGTTTTGCTGCATAGAACAAAATATCAAAGACTGGATTGCAGCTTGGAAAATTAGAAGCTTTGAAGGACAGAAAACCTCAAGAAAATTTTAACAGTAAATCAGAGCGCAGAGAGGGTGGTAGGGAGGAGAGTACGATGGAAAATGTTGCACTACGAGAGGCCGCAACTACAAGTGAAGACGCCACGTTGTTACAGAAACAGTTTATGACTTCTAAGAGCAAAGAAATTACTACAGAGCCAACAACTGGTGAGTCTGAAAATGTTGCTTTGGAGAATATGAAGTCGAAGGTCCAGAAGAAGTTGCACTTCGAAGAACCTCACCTTAAAAGTAAAGAGGTGGGTCATTTAGGTCTATTTTTACAATAAATTTGGTAAACTTTTTTTTCGGTGTTTTAATTTCAATTTTCCAGACTTTTCTGTACTAATAATTTCTATAATAAATTTGGCAGTTTTTCTTTCTAAAGATCTAATTTCGTTTCTTTAGGCATTTGCTATTGTTGAAGAGTTCTTACTGATTGCTATTTTTTTAATGTTAAATAGATAGTTACTTAATATCTCCAGAAGTTAAACGTAAGGACATCGTATCAAAATTTGGATTTGGCAACCGAAAAAAAGCCAGATTGGGACGTGGATGAGGAATGGGATGCTTCGGTTGGCTTTAAATCGTCATTTGAATTCACGATAAGTGTTGACAATAGTACTTCGAAGCAGTTGCAGGATAAGGTTCTTATTAAAGAAGAAAATGACCTAGAAGATAATGGCGGCCGCTCCAAAGAAGCAAGTGTAGAAAATTTGAGTCTTAGCAAACGGAGGAAGCTACGATTGAAAAAATCTGACGGCAAAAAACGAAAGGCGAGTTGAACTATTTTTTTAAAATAATTTGGAAGTGCTTTGCAGTAGAATTAAATTGAGCGATATGGAATTAAAAGTTTGTTACGGTTTCATGGGCTGCGTGTTTGAATCTTTTGTCTTTTTTTGGTGTATTAGATGAAAAGTAAATTTAGCGTGCAATTTCGTTTAAAAATTTCAAGTTGTTACTTATGCTTTGTTGCAGAAGTCGAAAGTTTTAAAAGTTGAGACCAAGGACTCAGAGGATTTAATCAATGCAGAAAATGTTGAAATTGACAACCTATTTGACGAGATGGAGGAAGCAGTGTTTAGTTCATTTGTGAGAGTTTCGTTTTGGTTTTTAGAAATTGAAAAAGTTTTCGCCTTAGAACATTATCAAGTTAGGTGACGGAGAATGTACGAAACGCCGAGTCAAGCAGTGGGGCTTCTGACAAAGGTAATACTTGTGAAAGTGGCGAGAGGGCTAAACGAAGGAACACAGCGAGTAAAATGAGTAATTTTTACTGTTTGTCGATTAGAGGCTTTTGGCCTACGTGTATAAGTTATTTCATCGCTTATATTGATGATAATTTTTTTCTATTTTTTTATTTCTCATCTATTTATTTATTATTTTACATGTTTTTGATAGTGCATTTGCTTTTAACAATCATTTTAGTTACAGAAGATCGGAAAAAGGAAAGTGCTGTTTTATCCGACACTACAAGCAGCAATAAAATTGATATATCTTTGGATCCGCAGCAATTTTTGAAAATCGACGCAAAATCGCTTACTCAAGTTTCGGCTGACCTCGTGGAAAAAATTGACGAATTTGACGGTTAATTTTATCCTGTTTTAAAGTTAGATATATATTAATTTGTTAATATTTGAAATGGTATTGCAGAGGACGTTAAGCAACAGGAATTACTTGCTGAAGCATTTAAAGATGATGATGTAATTGCGTCTTTTGAGGCTGAGAAAGCAGCTGTTGAGGAAGATGAAAAACCTAAAGACATTGACTTAACCTTACATGGTTGGGGTTCCTGGACAGGCCCTGGGATTTCCGACAAAAAGAAAGAACGGTATTGGTTAAGTGGCAGGATTTACGTTAAAATGGCTTAAAAATAGTTCTTTACGCAGTTTTGTGTAGTTCATAACTTATTAAAAAGTATTTTTCAGTTTTGTTATAAAAGCGGCGCAGAAAAAACGTAAGGACTGTGGTCGTTATGGTTTAATTATCTCGGAATCTGTGGATAGTTCCATCGAGAAGATTCAACCGCAAATGGTAAAATTGCATCACTCCGTATTACTTTATTAAGCTAGTTGCAGTAGTAGCTGACATGAACTTTTTTAGCACTTAATGCTTAATAATGGTTGGACCCTCCTAGAAACATTTTCGTTCTCACAGGTTTAAAGTTAGTAGCAGGTAATCAGGCTGCCTAATGAAAAAAAATCTTGAGTAACAAAATTTGTTTGGAAGAAGTTTAGTAACCTTTTTACGCTTTCTATTTATTAATTCATTTATTAATAAAAGTGGCAGTAAAGTAGTTATAGTGGATCGTTAAGTGTTAACGAAACTGTGGTTTTCTGGGTTAAGATTTTCTGGCAGGAAATGCTACTTCTCAAAATTTGAAATTTTTGGCTTTCAGTTTTGTATAACAAGTAATTTGAAATGGGACAGATGAAAAAATGGTATTTTATAACAACCTGAAAACTTCCCAGAAGAGTTACCAGGTAGCTACTTCAGCTGAAAAGTGATTTTTTGTCTTTTTTTTTGACAGATTTGGTAATATTTTCAGGTTCCATTTCCGTATACAACTGTTGAAGACTATGAAGCCGTTATCCGCCAACCAATTGGTAAAGACTGGAATCCACCAAGCATAGTTCGTGAACTTACTAAACCTACGGTTATCACGAAGGTAGTGTTGTTTTCACCTTTGAAAATAAGCTTTTATTTTTCAGTGTAGCTGGTACAATTTAGGAAATTAGGGTTAATTCTGATGTCAGAAGCCTACGAATTTACAGATTTATGTAGTAAAGCATTTAGAAATTGTAGTTCTACTTTCTGTCACTATGCTTTAGAAAATCTCTTTTTTCAGGGAGGCAGAATTATTAGACCATTAGACAAGGGAACTGTTATAAAAGAAAAAGTTAAAAATGTGTCTGATGAAGAAGATTAGCTAAGGCAGATTGTCTAAATTTTTATCATTTCGGATGCCTTTTTTGGAAGCAGTTAGTGATTTTCTTGTGTTTTGAATTTTTCAGCTGCTGTTGCTGTTGTATGAGTTGTGTTAATGCAAGTTTATTCGAATTATTTGGTTCTGTTCTAGTTGTTTATTTTTGTCAGAGAAAATTGTGATACCTCGTTCAGAAATGGATATTGCTATTGCCTTCCCGTACTTTTGACTGAAAACGATCTTACAAAGGAAAGAGCAGTTATGAAGAAGGCTGGGATGGGGAACTTAAGCAGTGGCTGATGCTTTTTTTTTAAACATTGACTAGAGAACAAAAAAATTAGCTTTTCAAAAACGTAAGGCTCAATCTTTTTAATGCACTATTTCTTAAAATTTCTGATCGTTTTCTCGCCAATTTAAAATTTCTGCTCTGAATTTTTTTGAGAGATAAGCTACCGAAATGACTGTTTTTTGTTATTTTCTTGGTTCTTGAGGCAAAGGGGTAGATTATTTTTGTTAAATGGCTTCGAAATTTTGAAATTGTAGGTATTCAAATAAATTCTCAAAAAGTACTACAAACACTTTCGGCAAAATTTTTTAGTTTTACAGTACGGGAACTTTTTTGCTGTAACTATTAAATTCTGAAGAGTCTTAATGTAATTATTCACGACCTAGTTTAAGGGACGACCACCGTTAATCCCTCTAGCAATTCCTCGTCGCTCAGTATCAGAGCAATAGTTGTGAGACAGCACATTAACGCTCTCTTGATTATAATCATAATATTCATTTATTTCAGTTTATTTTTAGACGAGAGTATTGTTGAAGTTGTAAAATAAATAGTATCTAATGAGTACCATTATAACCTGTTTGTTTCAAAATATTGTCTTGTGAGAGAAACGTTTGCCAAGCAAAAAAGGTTTTTCATTCTTTGCTCTGTAAGAAGTCGCTGAGCATAAAATATTTTAGTTGGAACAGTGAAGTGGAACAGGTAAATACCCTTTTCTCCCAGTAATGACTTACTTCATTTTTCTTCTTTTTAGAGTGGTGTTGTTTCTGTGAAGAAAACTATTATTCTTCGGGTTTGTGACATAATTCTTCAATTCTTAAATTTAGAGATGAACCAAATTATAATATTTCGTTTAAAAAATTTTTGAGTGTTGATCGGAAGAGTTTCTTTTGCTTTTAAGCTACGTCGTATATTTCGATGGCTACTTATCATACTAGGAATTACGATTTCAGTAATCTAAAAACAAGATGTAATTGTTTAAAGCTACAGTAAAGATTCAATTATTGTGAATGTCAGACAAATGATTTGAAATTACAGGATCTTTTTTGGTTCATCTCATAGACACATGAACGTCTGCGGATTTAGGGTTGTTTGTTTGCTTAAGTTAAATAAGCATACGGTGCGCAGGAAGTTATTCTGGGAGTTTATTACTTCGTCAAACATGTAATATAAAGAAAGGTGATCTACCAGACGTTTTGTGCATGCAAATTCCTCGTCGTTTTTAGCGGTTATTTACGTTTTGATGACCAGTGTCATTTCTGAGAAAATGTCTGTGGTGGATTTTCGCTGTTAGTCATGTCATCATTGCAGTTTTCGAACAGTTAATTACAGCGACTGGGTCTAATGCTGTGCTGGTTTTCGGACGGGGATATAATGTGAGTGCTAAAGAAGTTTATTACTAGAGCGAAGGACTGCTGTATAGCATTTGGAAACAGTTGGTAATTGCTGTATATTAGAGTCAGCCTTGTATTCTGAATGAAGCTAGCTCTAGGAAGTGTCAGGACAAGAAGAATTTAACTAGCACAGAGATTTGAGGAGGCTATAAGGTCAATAAAGATAATTTATCTCTTTCGTAGCATAGGAGATAAGGCAGACCATTAAAATATTAGCAATGAGCAGCAAGCTATTTTGTGAGAACAGTTAATATGCTAAATTTTCTTTCAATTGAATTGTAATTTGGAAATTTATTTGTTTGTAGGCGTATTCTTTCTATTTCCTATCTCACGGCTATTTAGAAATCTTGTTTTTTGTCAAAGATAATTTTAAAAATTTTTTACTTTGTAACTCTTGCCGTTGACATTTTAAATATCTGTCGTGTAAGAATCAAAGCTCTAGCTCGTTGTTTGTTAACAGAAACGACTCTTTTTTTCAGAGCAGACAAGAGCTGCTTAAGGGTGGTTCTTACGGAACCCCTGTAATTAATCTCGGAATTTGGCTTCTAGTTGGTGGAGTTGTTTTTGGTAAAAAACTAAATCAGGCATCTATTTTGAATAGCATAATATAGGAGTTGAAAGGTGTTGACGACGTTTTTTAGGAGACTGTTTTTTATAGCTGTAGATCGGAATTAAGCACAAATAAGAAAGAAAGGGGAAGGTACTGCGAAGGTTGGTAGTAAACTTTTTGTTTTAACTGGACAAATTAAGAAAAGTTGAAAGCACTATTTTAACTAGTATACTGGTTTAGTTGCCTTGATTTGGAGATGACTATTATTTATAAAATCTTATAACTTTAAACTTTTGTTTAGCAATTTTAACGATTGGAGTCGCCTTCTGGTTCTCATTTTGTGTAATCCACACTCTATCTATTTTTGTGTTTACCAGCTATTACCACCTTTTTAAACCTGATACCATTTTTTGTCATGTTGAAGTTTTTTTTATTATCTATACTGTAATCATTACAGTGCTTCTTGTCAATTTTCAGACCACTTTAGACTATTGATTGCAACCGGAAATCAGTTAGAAAATGGAGCGTTTAACAACAATAAAAACGTTAAATTTATCAGTTTTGATAGTCGACATTCGGAAATAGTTGCAATTTGTTATCAAAAGCGGTTGAAAATTAATAGCGTTATTTTACGCAGGTCAGTTTGCAAATTGTGCGGTTTTGAGATTTTAAAATTGTTTGTGGCTGTAAAATTAGCGTAGGAATTTCAAAGAAACCTTGTTTTCAATGGTCATGAATTAGGTATAAGTCAGCACAGCTATTATTAATTGACAAGTAAATGATGTGAAGTTTTTTCAGCTGTGATGAAAATATAAAAAATTGCCAACAGTGTCTTTACTGTTCTCTGGGTAAAGAAATGTTTCTTCTAAATATTGTTTTTAAGCAATAACGATTGCAAATATATTAGCAAAAAATAAGAAACCCACTGCACTTTTTAACGACTGTGTAATGCCGGTAAAAAAAAGTATGCTTGAAAGCTGAGGGTGAAATTAACAGGCTTAATTCAGGAAGGACATGTGAAACGAGGGTTTTACTGAGAAAAAAGGAACGATGAATAGAAGTTGAACAGCTTGCTGTTTTTCTAGTTTAAAGAATATTAAGTGACTTAATCGCTACCAGCAACAGTTCTGATGTATCTGTATACTGGACACAGAAGTCTAATGCAATCAATACTGAAGCATACAATGAATTTACAGATTGTTTTATTGTGGCTAGTCTACAGCATTGCAAAATAAATCTTAAATGCTTAGAAAAAACAGTAATTTGGTCTTGTTTACGAAATTACAGCAGTTTTGCAAAGGGAAAGTAAAATGAATTTTTTTTCTACTATATGGGCCATTCCACGCCAAATCGCACAACTTTGAACC